CCCCTTCCCCAAATAACCCCCAAATCTTTGGGTGCAACTGAATTAGACTGAGGAGCTGATGTCCGAGGTGTGCTACATTCCCGGAGGTTTCAGAGCTGACGAGGGGGAGTCTGTTGGCGCAGCACGAGCTCAGCCCTGGCTCCAGCAACAGACATGCTACAAAAGAGGTGACCGAGCTTCACACACACCAGGCTCTTGGGGAGCACAGGACGTCTCTACCCCTAACACAAGGGATATCTGCACACAAAGACAGAGTTTAAAGCAGTCTAGAACACTTGGGTTTTAATCTGCTCTCTCCAATTTCTAATGCCACAACTTAGATAAAGTGTCTTCCCTATCTAGGGCCCACATCCTCAATACATTCTATACAGTAAAGGTATACAAAGCATCCTTCTCCAGTCTTTTAAACAGCAAGATATTCCTGTGTTACTTGCCAGGGTCCTCCAGCTGGGAACAGAGTATTAGCAAAGGTGCGTGCAGCACATCTGTAAAGGCGCTATCTGCCTGCGATTTGAGCTTCTCACAGCCATGGTGTCATTTCTGCTAACACTGCATGTCTGAGGTGCTAGCACGAGACCCAGAAATCAGTCTTCTGTATCAGACAGAAAGCAGGTACTGCGTAAAAAGCAACCTCATAGCAATAGGCCACAAATGATCTCAAGAGACTTCCACCGGCCAGAAAAACCGGTGCCAAGTGCCCAGTTACTGAGGTCACCGCAGGGAACAGCAGCAGTAAGCGCACACGGCTTCAGAGAATTGACTGGCGACTGGGATCCCTCGGGCCACAGCCCCTTGGGAAAGCTTCCATCAGCACCTACCCTCGCGTTTCCTGGGAGTCAGACCGACGCTGAAACACCCAAAATAACCTTTCTTGAAGAGATGCCTGTAGGAGAAACATCTGTACGTCCCCATCCAGTAACTACACAGCTCTGAACTCCCACCATCTTTGCTTGCCTCACTGCTGGGGCCCTGCCCCGCACAGAGCCCTCGGTGCCCGCGTCCCTCCCCGAAGGCCCGGCAGCCACCCTGCGGGACACGCAACGG